GTGTGTGTGTGTGTGTGTGTGTGTGTGTGTGTGTGCGTGTTGCGTGTGCGTGTGCGTGTGCGTGTGCGTGTGCGTGTGCGTGTGCGTGTGCGTGTGCGTGTGCGTGTGCGTGTGCGTGTGCGTGTGCGTGTGCGTGTGCGTGTGCGCGTGTGCGTGTGCGTGCGCGTGCGCGTGTGCGTGTGCGTGTGTGTGTATATATATATATAATGTATCGTCAACGTATATACATGGAACTCAACGTTTTAAATTTTGCGCTAGCATTTGTGATCAATTTTGATTGGCTGCCCTCACTCTGCTACTGCCATTATGCGCAATGTTACACCTTGTTTTCTTACATTATGGAATTACTCTGATTGGCTAAAAGCCTTCACACATAAAATCCCGTAAGGCCGTAAGACGTAAGCGTAAAAAATCGACCAATCCCAATTGAGTATTAGATTGTCCGTAATCCCTCCACTCAATTGGAATTGGTCGATTTTCTTATGCTTACGTCTTACGGCTTTACGGGATTTTATGTGTGAAGGCCTTAACCCTCACCATATCTCTTTTCCGTAACCAGAGAGAAGTATGAGAGCGGCCATCCCGGCGCGACACCGGTAAAAGTTTTGACCTCTCCGTATACTAGCGCCAATTGCTTCTACTTTTAAGATGGAACTACGTACACAGCCATTGTCATTGGCTGTGTACGTAGTTCCATCTCAAAAGTAGAAGCAATTGGCGCTAGTGTACGGGGAGGTCAAAACTTGTACCGGTGTTGCGAAAAACGCCGGGATGGCCGCTCCGCTTCATGCTTCTCTCTGACCTGGGCACAGTTTAATGTATGGTTAAACTGTGACCTGGGTCTACAGTGTTTACACCTGTTCGGGAGTCGGACTGTCAGGAGCAGAACTCAGGAGCATGAAAAAAAGAAAGAACAGGGTTATAAATAAATAAAGAAACTTCAATATGAACACGCAAGATGTTTTAAATTTTTCACATCGAATATATAAAAATAGTCCAATCCTATTTCATAGTTATATTGGAAAGAAGGTTAAGATAACAATGCAAGATGAAAATATTTATTGTGGTATTGTTTATACAGTTGATCCAGTATCAGAAAGGTTAGAAAAACTATTGAAATTATTTTATTTGTAATCGAATACATAATAAAATTTTATATAAAAATATAAATTTATAATTTTAACATAAGAAGCCTTATGTCCTAATTTCGGACAAGCCTGCAATCTAAAACTTAACTAATAATTATAATATATTTATGTATGAATGCACTGTACTCTTTCTCTTTTTATTTATATATAAAATACATATACTCTGGTCTTTGGATTTAGATTACGTTATGAACTTATAAAATGTGCCTGATGTTTTTATACTTATAGTTTTTATTATAAAAACATAAAAAGATACTTCAACTTTCTTTATATTTATATAAACATATATTATATCTTATCTCTATATTCATGATTTTTTTTATAATTTAAAAGAATTTTAGTTTTAAAAATCAATAATTATTTCATAAATAGTATTTCATATAGGTTCTATTATATTTCTTATATTATAAATAAGGAATGTTATTGTGTGTATGTGTGTGTATCATAAGTTTTGAGATTATCAATCTTAACTATTTAATTGCAAATAATGATGTATTATTTTACAGTATTGTGCTCCTACAGTCGAAAACATCTAAGCAACATCGTCTAAAAATAATATTCAGCCATGCCATACAAAATGTCGAAGTAACATTGGAGGCCGAAATGTTTTTGCCAGAATTATTTTTATCATCACCTGCAAAACTTTCACAGGTGATGGTTACTAAAAGAAAGGATACTATTATGCAATTATTACTGGACAATCGATTTCCGGTTAAGGAAGAAAAGGATATCTTATGGATAGAAGATACTGTGTTGATAGAACCTCCATATTATCCTGAAAATTGTAAATGTACTAACAGTATTATTCTTAGTAAAATACAGAATATTTTAACGCATGCAAATGTTGAACAAAATTAACAGAATTAAAACAAAATTATATTCTAAAGATACTTTGCTAAGCCTTATCCCAAAACAATTAAATATTATTTTAACGAGCTTTTTATTTTCGAAAATGTAATAAAGAAAGTTATTTTGGAGAATTATTTTTGAAAATTTATGTGACGGATTTTATAGATTTATCATCCTTTATTTATATATTGAATTATCTTTAGTAAAAATTTCGTATAGATATACTAATTTCAAAGTCATTCAAATGAAGCATTTAAAGAAATACAGTATGCATAATTGATTTGACTATTAATAATAAGTCTAAACGAAGAGTTAATAATCAATCATAAACTAGTTCTATTGTTTCAAAATTTTTGTGCTTCTAATTAAATTCAGTTTATTTTCTATACAAATAAAATACAGCAAAAAAAAAATATTAATTATCAGCAAGAATTGTATTACTTTAAAATTAGAAAGATTTATAATATACAATACTTTTCAAGCAAATAATAAAAAATAAGATTTAAGATTGATTTCTATCAAAACATCTTAAAACTCCTATGTATAATTATCTTATTTAATCTATAAATGCAAATCTTTTAAATATAGTTATGTATTTCTATTACATAAATTGATTATAAATATAAAAAGTTTTCTTTAAAGGCTCTGTGATAATTAGTCAAATAAAAAATATGTCCATAAGAGCCCAATGCAGGTGTCGATACGCAATAAATCTTTATTAAATATAATAATAATAGTCAAAAACATACGTTTTAACCCATAGATTAATTGGGTCCTTAGTGTAAGGTACAAAAATAGTTACAGAACAGTCCAAGCTTATTGTTAGTCATAAATCCAATAGTGGTGTAAAGAAGTGCACAATCACAATAGCTCGCCGGAGCGGAGTTTATGTGAAGAAGCAATCTACTGATCTATTAAATTTGTATCTTACACTGAGGAGGACTATAGGTTGAAATGTATGTTTTTGACTATTACTATTATATTTAATAAAAATTTATTGCGCATCGACACTTGCGGGCTCTTATGGGTATGTTTTTTATTATATTTGATAAATTGATTAATTTGTTATTCTATGAATAAAAATATTGAATTAAAATAGTATTGATTAAAAGAAAAATATTTATATATTTCATTTTTTGTCAAAATATGTTAAAATCAAATCTGAAATGTTTGCTATAAAAATATTGATTTTTTATATTTTTGCTTTAATTTAACTTAAGGGCCCTGCCTAGTCACCGTGGCTATTGGACTCATGACGTCAGAAACAAGAACGGCGAGAAATGACACATAAGTTTCTTGAGTGCCATTTTTGCAAATAAAGAGGATTTGGATAAAATTAATAAATAGGATTGCTTTAGAAAACTTGTATAAATGGGTGTCAACTATCCTTCCCTCCCCCCCCCC